GAGTTGGGCTTGAAAACGACCAACGACCAAAGAACCGGCGTTGGGATGCCAGGTCATCCGGGCATTGGGTTAGGCAAGACTGGCTGACTATGAGTAATGTACCAGAACGCCGCACTTTGACTGGGGATAGGCGTAGTTGCCACCATCACGGCAACAGCCGTCTCTAACCACTGTGTGGAGCCCACGCCTAACCTTGGAGACAACAGCGTGGCGGCAAACTGGGCTCTGACAGTGGAAACTAATATGTTTTAAAAGTGTCAGAACATTAAGCCTTTGATTTCCGTGATTGCCTTTCTTATATAAATATGTGCGTGTATATGCGTGTGATCAAGTATTGTCCATCCTCCTGCAAAAAGCCAATAGATCAATTTCATCGTGCTGGTGACTATGTTTTCTAATCGGAAGTGACTTCGCAGTGGGTGAACCGCGCTGACGCAGTTGGACATCGGTAGGTGAACAATAATGACCTTAAGAGAGACGCCTACCTGACAGACAACCAGTTAGGAAAGATTGGATTCTCGAGGCGTTCAAATATCCACAAATTGCAGTTTATTGGATTATTCCTTGTGTCAAAACTAGTGTCTAGGAGTTAGCTCGTGAAAGCGGGTTTTCAAAGAAACTATCCGGTAGACAAGGCAGAGGGCGGGCGAAAGCTGGTAGTGCTTACTTGTTCACGTCTGTTCCCACGCTGCAGAAATTGTATCAGATTCCAGCATCTTTGCACACACCTTATTGTCCATTGAATGAGTTTGGTCCCGGAAGGAGATTCCTAACACATGTTCGTTTGTTAAGTTCTATCCTTAAAGAAAAGTCGGAATATGCGATGTGACTTTATCTATAGCAGATAACTATAGTATCGAGTAGATTGGGCTGGCAAAATGCGCTTCAGATCGAGCCCCTTAGACGCACGAATCAAAATGTCGAGAATAAGCAGGAAGCTGAAATTTACCCATCTTATGGTCCAGGATGATGTGGTTACAGTAGCCAACTTTTCAAGGAAATTATGCCTGTCTTGTGGGTAAGTCACCAGATTTTACATATCCCCCCTCCCTCTAAAGTTCTCTGAAAGTTGCCAAAAAACCGCAGTAACTTTGTTTTTGAATCGTTTTGGCCAACTCGCATACACTTGGGTATCCTGATGTAACCGCTGTACTTTGCTTAATAATTTAGCCTAAAATGGAAGACGAAGTCCGAGCAGCACCATGGAACACGACTCGTGCCTACCTTGCGGCTCAGCGGGGTGGCTGTTTTCTCGAGTTGCACGGACCGGCTGATCCTACCGGCTGTGGTGAAGCCTTCTCCTATTCAAAAACCTCTGCAAAACCGGGTGCTCTGTTCCGGCAGACAGGTGGAGAAGTGGCCCGTGGTTTGTTAAAAGACAAGCGCACTGTTACTGGCACTGATGCTGACTTACGAAAGCTCCATCTTCGGGACGCCCGTGCTCTTCTGCGTTCCTTCGGAATTAGTGAGGCCGATTTGAAGACTTTTAAGCGGTAAGTCCTATCTCTGGTGCAATACGATTTATTCCCTTTTTTTACCAAACTGTACTGGCAATTTTGTGAACTCCCTTTCCAATTTTTTTGCTAAAGGTGGGAAATTATCGACATGGTGCGTTTCACTTCCACCGAACGAGCCAAACAGGGCGAAGAGGAGATTACAGCCAAATTTGCCCGTGGAAACCGGTTATCGATGGCTGAGCAGATTCGTTGCTACCGCGAGGAGTGTCAGCGTATCTTTGACCTTCAAAATCGCGTCCTCTCAAATACCGAGTTGCTGAGTTCTGACGAGGGTGAAGAGGAACCAAGCAGCGATGAGGAGGATGAGGAAGAGACGACGAACGCTTTTGGAAGTGGCAAAGGTGCTGGTGCGACAGCAGCCGGTTCGGGAGCCACTTCGAGCAGCAACGCAATTGGTGGTGTCCGTCTCTCCAGCCTGCCTTCATCCAATCGGAACCGATACGACTCAGCCAGCCGCAATATTGAGTCTATGTTGGCCAATCGGATTACGGCGGAGGAGTTAAAGCATCGCCAGGAGGAGGCTGAGTGGGAGGACCTGAAGCGAAGTGTTGAACTTGGCGTAAGTAGTCTACCTTTGATCTGGTTATCACTTGTTTCTGTTTTGTTGGGAATGCGGACAAGTAATTTCTGGGGAGGGGAGTTCTATTCGCCGGATGTTTCGTATTTACACTTAGATCCATCGTATTTGTACTATGCTGTTGCAGTTGGTTCATTTGTTCGACCGTGACTCCTATCTGTAGCAGTCTCTGGTGATGGCTTGAAGTGTGAATCCGAAACTTTAGGCGAATAAAACTCCTGTCCTTGCGACCACAGATCCTTCTGTTCAACTTATTTGATTGTCTGTACTTCAGCGGAGCCCTATTACTTTCTCTCAATACAGAGGACTTTAAAGCGTAATCGTAAGCCAACCGACCCTGTCAAGCCAGACGGATCAACACCAGCGGCAGCTTTTCCCGCGACATCGACTCCATCTGCTGCTGCCCTCACATCCACTGTTTACGAAGCGAATTCCACATCAGCAGGCGAAATCCTCGACCTACCACCACTGTTCCCCGGGGCGCAGAAGAAGGTGCTTCGCATCGTGCGCACCTATTCTACAGGCGGACAGCAGTACACACGTACAGAACTGGTGCCCTGGTCCCCGGTGGTTGAAATCTATCTCAAAATCAGGCAAACGCGGGACACTGAGTTCATCCACAACTTCATCGGTTCTGACGATCAGTTCAGGGAACAACAACGTAGGGAGAAGCGTCGACTGCAGGTTAGTTTCTTTTGATAAGAGGCCAGAACAGGATCTTTGAGGTAACATGTCACAACTGCAGCACTGTTATGTGAATTACCTATTTGGTCTGCTGTGGTTTCTTTATTTCAAGAGAGAATTGCGCGCAGAAATTCCTCTCTCGGTATGAGAACCCATTAGTAATTTAGTCAGCAAGGGTGGGAGATGTTCTTTTTGGAAACACATTACGCTGGCGAGCAGTTTTTCCACTGGCCGTAGGGTAATTGCTTAGGGCACACGGATCGCAGCTGTGTCAAGCAACGGCAGAATACCGGCGAAACAGGTGTTAGGGCCTTTTAGCTAGTACCTAGGCTGTTAGTATGGTAAGTTACAAAAATATATCTAGAATAATTAAATGGCTGCTGGAAGACGCGGTTTATTAGCGCATTGATTTCGAATATACCTATTGGTGTGTTAACTAGTGCGGTAAATTGCTGTTTTTCTTCACCTGCAGGATCAACTTCGCCGTGTACGTAAGCAGCAAGACCTTATACGCTCCAGAGCTGGTGGTTCGGGTCCCTTGCGCGATGCCAGCGGCCGCCTCATTCCTGCAAACAGAGTCGGCATCTCTTCGCGACGGCGACATAAGCCATCGAGTCTAGTGCTGAAAATGCGCTGCGGAGCCTGTGGACAGACAGGTAAGATTGCGACTTAACGACTTGTGTACAATTTTCTGCTGAGCTTGATGGCTGAAATCGCCTGTTTAGTCTTGTCTGCAAGAACAGTGACCTATTTCGGGACGTCCTCGTGGATAGGCATTCGTATTCGGAAAGTTAATTTTACAGTTAGCTGGTGCCCTCTCCCCTGTTCTTATCCTTACGACTGCAAAAGCACACCCTCGTTTGTTTGTCGCTAACCCAATTGTCTAGTTCCCTTCTACGCAGAGCCGATATATGACAGATAAGCCGCGTGAGTAATGTTGCATCGCCTCGAATAAAGCCTCGTTTTCCTTTCTCTTTTTAGGTCACATGCGTACCAATAAGGAGTGTCCAATGTACGGGCGAAGCGAGGGTTTGCCGCCCACCAGTGTCTCCACAGAACGCCGTCCCGGTAGCAGTGT